TCTTCTTCTTCTTCTTCTTCTTCCTCTTCCTCTTCTTCTTCTTTTCTCTCTCTCTCTCTCTCTCTCTCTCTCTCTCTCTCTCTCTCATTAACTGAAGTTTTTGAACATTCGGCGGTCAGGGATGCGAGCTCGCAGTGTGCCTCGCTGCCTGGCAGTGTGCTTTGTTTTGCATCAGGCAGTCGTGATTTTATAGAAATTTCGAGGCAGCTGTTTAGGGAATTAAAAAGTTACTGAGAGTTGGGGAAAGTAACGAGTAACAAATTTTACCTACGGCGGGGTTCCCGGTTTTGACGCTGCGAGTGCAGCCAGCTAGTGCGGCCTGTGAGCGTTTTCTGCTGCTGGGCAGACGGTTGTCGGCTGTGGTTGTTCTCCGGTGGTGCAGAAGAACCCCAGCCTCGTTGGCGCGGGAAAGATTGCTGGTTATGTATTGTGTCGCTGCACTCACCTTTCATAATTTTCATTTGCTTCTGCTGTAAATTTCATAACACGTTTAAAATAATTCATCTCACTTACTCTTTATTTTATTTTATTTTATTTTATTTATTTTTGCGGTACCCAGGGATGGAACTCGGGACCTTGCGCACACTAGGCAGGCATTACATTGCTGAGCCATCTCCCCGGCCCTATCTCACTTACTCTTTACATTTTTATTTTTTCCTGTTGGATGTGTGCACATGTAGTTCGATTACAAGGGTTGGTAAAAGCTTTGCATTTTTACAGGGACACATTTTGAACTGTGTCTCATTTTTCCTACCCAAGTATTTGCTTTGGAAATTTTCACGGGTGTAGAGGAGTTTTCAGGAAGTACTTTGCTAAGCCTTCAATGTCGTGCATCATGTTGCCATTTTTTTTCCCAGCAGGGGACCACCCCAGAGGTGCTGTATTACTGAGATACAACTTTTTAATTTTACATTTTCATATGAGGTCTCATTAATTTGTCTAGGCTGGCCTGACCCTTGCAATCCTCCTGCATCAGCCTCTCAAGTAGCTGGAACTGCAGGGTATGCCAGCATGCTAGCCTTCTTTTGCCTTATTTTTGTGTGGCGTCTTCTCTCTATATAGTTTTTTTGCTCTGATGTTTTCTTTATATTTATTTTTACTAACTAGCAGCTGTGTGCTCTCTGTGCTTCTCTTCCACCCATGCAAGGGATTAGGCCCTGTGTGACACAAGGACTCTGTGGATTGCACCTCTTCTCTATGCCCTGGGTCCCTGTCATCCCCATGTCACACCCCAGACTGCAAGGGAAGCAGAGGACGGGCGCCTGGCCAGCCCGGGGCTTGTCTGCTTGCAGGTGGCAGTGCCCCCGGGCCGAGCTGTGCCTCTGTGGTCAGGGTCAGAGCCTACCTGATTTGAGATGAAACGCAAGCTACACTTTCTTATGTAAGTCTGACTGCCAGGACACAGCCGGGCACAGGCCCTGGGCTCGTCACTAGAGTGGCAGCTTGCTGTCTCCCCTCACTCAGCTGCCGGCCTCTAAGGCAGTTCCTTCTCAGTGCATGTCACTGTTGGCCCTTAGCCAGCAGGCCGCCCCTTCTCAGAATTCCTGAAATGCGCACTTTTCTGTCTCACCTCTAGTCACTGTGAGCATTGAACAATATGGAAAAGTGTAATGGGGAACAGTGAACTTGCCTCACCTCCTGGATGCAAATGGAAAAATTTGTGTATATTTACACCGAGTACCTCTCTTTAAATTTTTTTATTTTGCTTTTTGAGAGCATGAAAGTGCTACAGATGAGCAGGCACCCTGCAGGCCCTGTGAGTCGCAGAGACAGCTCAGGGCTGCAGGAGGCCACATCTGCCCGGCCCTGGGCCGTGCATGGAGCCATTTGGGACAGGAGCGTGGACACGTGTGCACAGATGGGGTTTATTTTGTAACTGTGTTTCCTTCTAGACTATAAAGCAATTGGCAAGATAGGAGAGGGGACATTTTCTGAAGTCCTGAAGATGCAGAGCCTTCGGGACGGGGACTTCTATGCGTGTAAACAGATGAAGCAGCGCTTCGACAGGTGGGCAGGCAGCAGAGGCCCCGCCAGGCGCGGGGCTGCGGGAGAGAATCCCACTCGTGTTCTTGTGTGCAGCCTACAGAAAGCTTTCGGGGTGGGGGATGGGAAGATTATCGGGTAATGTGATGTTTTAGAGGTTTTTGTACTTTACGTATTTTTTAACTTTTTAAATTAATTTTATTGGTACACTTTTTTTTTTTTTTTTTCAGAACCAGGGATTGAACTCAGGTCCTTATACTTGCCAGGGAAGCCCTTATTCTACTGAGCCATCTCCCCGGCCCCTGTGGTACCCTTTTTTTTTTTTTTTTTTAATTTTATTTATTTATTTATGTGTGTGGCCAGCTCAGCCCACCAGGGGGCGGGGCTGGCTGGCATGTGGTGCTGGGGATCCACCGCGGTGCCTGTGCTTTGCCAAGCCTGCTCCAAGTAGGTGCTTTAGACCACTGAGCCATCTCACCAGCCCTGTGGTACACTTTTGATGTGCATAATACTGACATTCATCTTAGAGAATTAGTACTTGTATGTAATGTTTCTTTCTTTTTTTTTTTTTTTTTTTTTTAGGGAAGGGTCTGCAGGGTGTTCAGGGTCTCACTGCTAGATCGGACTCGTAGTGATCTGCCTGCTTGCAGCCTCCCAAGAGCTGGGGTCACAGGCACGTGCCACCACACCCAGTCTCAGTTGCCATCTCTGCGCACTCCTATGCCTGCTTGCAGGCATGTAATGTATTTTGATTCTTTTTTCCCCCTTCCTTTCCCCTTTCTTCAGCCCCTCTTCCACTCTTTCATGAAAGCTTCGTTTCCAGTTTTTTCCTTCTATTCTTTTTTTTTCTTTTTAACTTTTCCCTTCCGTTCCCTTGCCCCCTCCATTCCCATTTGTTATGGTTTATGTAGAGATGTCCCCCCAAAACCTCATGCAGTCATGGGGTGGGCTTCTAGAGTCCAGGATGAATTCCATTTAGTGTGTTCTTCCTACTTCCCAGTGTCTGTCGTCCATATCGGTCCTTATTTGTGCTTTTGGAATCTCACACAAGAGAAGCTGTGATGCTTACACACACGTCTACTTTATTCACTTAGAAGTGTGCTGTCGGGATACCTCCACTTAGCTAGAGATGTCTCCGGTTTGGTGATGAGTCTGCACACTGATTTCCACAGAGGTTGCTCCAGTTTACACTCCAGCCGGCAGTGGAGAAGGGTTCCATTTTCCCCACAGCCTGGCCAGTGTGTGTTACGGGCTGATTCTTGACAGTGAGCATTCTCTCTGGAGTGAGATGGGATCTCACCATCGTTTTAATCTGCATTTTGCAAATGGCCAGGGATGCTGAACATCTTTCATATATTTATGTACCATTTGTATTTCTTCATCCCAGAAATGTCTGTTGATTTCAGATGCCCATTTCTGCATTTGGGTCTTTAAATTGGGGGAGGAGTCTGATTTTTTAACTTTTTTCTATGTTCTACACTTTAGTCCTTTATCTGAGGAGCAGCTGGTAAAAAACTTTTCCACTCTGTTTGTTTCTTCATTCTTTTTGGCAGTTTCATTTTCCATGCAAAGTTTTTTAATAAATAAGATCCTAGTTGTTGATTGTTTTGGTAATATTTCCTGTATATTTTATTCATAAAATCTTTTCCTACGGGCTGGTGAGATGGCTCAGTGGTCTAAAGCGCCTACTTGGAACAAGCTTGGCAAAGCACAGGGACCGCGGTTCAATCCCTCAGCACCACATGCCAGCCAGCCCCGCCCCCTGGTTGGCTGAGCTGGCCACACACACACACACAATAAATAAAAAATGTAAAATAAATAAATAAATTAATTTAAAAAAATCTTTCCTACACCATTGTCTTCAGGAAATTTATCTATTTTATCTTCCAGAAGATTAAGTGCTTTTGTTCCCTCCCTTCCCCCTTGGGTACCAGGGATAGAACTCGTGACCTTACACTTGCCAGGCAGGTGCTTATGCTACTGAGCTGTATTCACGGCCCTAAGTGTTTCTATTTTAATATTTAGATCTTTTATCTCTTTAAAATTTTTTTTTTACATTTATGTGTGTGTGTGTGTGTGTGTGTGTGTGTGTGGCCAGCTCAGCCCACCAGGGGGCGGGGCTGGCTGGGGGATTGAACCGCGGTCCCTGTGCTTTGCTAAGCTTGTTCTAAGTAGGTGCTTTAGACCACTGAGCCATCTCACCAGCCCCCTTTTATCTCTTTCGATTTTAATTCAGTGCATAATGAGAGATATGGGTCAAATTTTAATCCTCAGCATGTGGAAAGTCAATTTTCTTAGCACCACTTATTAAAGAGGCTTTCTTCCAGTGAATTTGTCTGGCCACCTTGTCAAAAATAAGGTGGCTGGATGCATTTGGAGTTGTTTCTGCATCATCTGATCTGTTCCTTTGATCTTTAGATCTGTGTTTTTGCCAGTACCATGCTGTTTTTATCACAGTAACTTTGGTAGTGTAATTTGAAGTCAGGAATTGTGATGCCCCTTTCTTGCCTTTGTTGCCCAAAATTGCTTTTGGTAGTCTAGGTCTCTTCTTGTTCCAAATGAATTTTAAGATTTTTTTTTT